TCATCAATGGCTGGTATCAGAATAGAGCCATGTCACGTATTTGTTGGATGAATGAATGAATGTGCTAGTGAATGAACTTTCCCTTATAGTATCTGCATACTGTTTAAGAGCATCAACAAACCGGAATTCTCATATCCGTTCCCAGTCCCCTCATTTTATAAAATTGGGATATCTACTCCATAGACTGTTGAAACCACTAAGTGAGGTAATTCATGGGCAAAACCTAGTAAAGGGTCAGGCACATGAGCCCTTGCTAAACTTAGAACTAAGAAGTGCTGATAGTCATTGTTATTATGAATCCATTGCTACTGTTATTACTTCAGATACCAGAACCTCTCCCAATCCTAATGATTAGGTGTGACTAAAACAAAAGACTGTAATTCCTTTTGTCCGATTTGAAATACATTTATTTATGTAACTTTTTTTAATTGAGGAAACAGTGGTTTACAGTGCTGTATATGATCCAGCAGTGTAGGGCCACACCTCTTTAGCCATATGTTACCACACCACACCACACCCACCACCAAATCACCCATAATCCTCCACCATAGACTACTGAGCCCCTTACCCCTTTAGTATTCCCCACTGCCTCTGATATCCTCAATTCTGTAGTCATATTTTTAGGGCGTATTTTGGCTTAGTTTTCCCTATTCTTTTGTTTCTTTGTATTCTGTCTGTATGATACAGTATTTGCGTTTCTCCTTTCTGAGGTATTTCATGTAGCTAATCCCCTTCAATTCTATCCATGTTGTCACAACTGACAGGATTTCATGTTTGTTTTTTTTACAGCAGAGGGTAGGGTTCTATTGTGTATAAATACCACAAAGTCTTAATCTACTTACCTGTCCTTGGGCACTTAGGTTATTTCCATAAATTGGCTATTGTAAATATTGCTACAATTAACATGGTGTGCATATATCCATTTGAATTAGTGTCTTTGTATTCTTCAGATAAACACCAAGGAGTGAGGTCTGGAATTGCTGGATCATCTGGTAGAGCACCTATGGGAGCAGTCTAATTCTTGATAAGAATATACATTTTAATGTTATAAGGTGAAAATTAGTGCCTGTGCAATGTCTTGTTTTTCAAAAATTTCTCATCTCCCAATATATTTACTTCAGGAAATTATTATTACATCTGTCACCGGTTTTTCAAGTCATTGATTTATTTACTCAGCAAACAGAGTGCACCCCAATGTATCAAGATGGTTGTGGCCCCCGCAGAGTTGACAGTAAGTAGTGTAGGGTAAGGAAAATGTATCAGGCTTTTCTGCCCTCCCGCCATTAGGATAGATGAGGGAACCCTGTGGTCCTGAATGCATGCCTGATGGGGGGCACCTGAAGTGGGTGCACCTGGGCTGAGAGACTGAGTTTATAAGGGCGGCGTCATGGGGACGCCAGTAGAAGCCAAGAACGAATAGGAGCAGGAGGGCAGAGAAGCAGAGAGAACACAAGAGAAGGCCGGAAAGCCCAGCTAGAGTGAAGACTTGCTGGGGGCCGGGAGGCCTGCCAGCCTCCTGGCACCCCAGCACCCCTGCCTGCCATGTGCCTTGTAAATCTAAGTAAAAGAACTGCAAAAGCCAGTGAGGACTCTGACTCCTCCTTTACCCGGTCTGCTGGATCAGAAAACCTGCTCTGTGGTCTTCCTGCCCCTACAGTAAAGAAAAAGATTTAACAGTCCAATGGGGAGATGTTTTACCACAGTGTCAGTCATGCTAGAGGGAAGCACCAGGTCCTACACATGAGTGGAACTGGAAGACCCAGTTTAAGCTGGAGGGAATTTCCACCCTGAGGTCCACTTTTGGCCTCACACAGAAGCTGCTGGCACAAACCAAACCAACCAATTGGTGTCTGTTATGGCAGGGGTTGCAACCAAAGAGGTGAAGTCAGTGTTTTTCTCCCACTCCATGGTCTCTGTGTGTATCAATTTTATGTTGTTCTTACAAACAGAGTTTCCATGAAAACCAGCTACAAGGCGGAACAAAAGAACAGCCAGCTGGGAAGCCTGCATTGTTAACTTGTTTCCCAGGTGCTTTATATGCACACTTAGTGGCTGAGAATTATTCCTTTTTAGGCCCTCTGCCTGAGTTTCCTTCTGCTGCCTCTGATTTCCTTACCACCCTGAACACCTGGGGCCAAGGCTTCCTTTCAGAGAAGTTTGAAAGCAATCCTTTTTTTCTTTTAGTTTGGTCCAGGTCTTAATCTTCCAACAGCATCAAATATTCATTGCCATTTGACAAAGCTGGGGTTGGAGGATCCAGCGTTTTCAAAAGCAGGTCTTGACTTACCATTGGTGATCCAGTGAACCTTTCAGCAAGGCTGACTCTAAATCATGCAGGCTCAATTAGTTTATTTCAAAGAAATACCCAGGTGTTGTTTGACCTTCAAACATATGGACTGCTGGAGTCAATGAAAGTCTCACCTGTTCCCATAATGCCAAGGGGACAGCATGGGGTAGTTCTTTTTCATATTCTCTGAGTTTTGTGGAGGGATTATTAGTGTGGGCAAAATGAGTTATTTACTTCAGCAATATACTCAGCAGTGGGTACAGTTCCCTTTGTTGTGGGAACAGCCAGGTGTGAGCTGTCACTAGTACCGCTGAAAGTTGACCGAGGTGTGTAGGATTGGGCCACGTAGAGATTTGGGGGAAACAGCCAGGGCACAATGGGAAGCAGTAAGTGGTGTATGCTGAGCTCCTTGTATAGGCCTTGGCAGTTCCCCAGAGTGGAGCATTTGAGCAATGGTCCAGGGAATCCAAAGGTCCAGTTTCCGTGCTTTTTTTTTTCCCTTTGACCCAGCACAAAGTGACCATCATCCCCTCAGACTCAGGTTCTTGTCTCGATACCCTAAGATTTTTCTTGGGCTTTTCTTTACCCAAAAGAAACTTTTCTTTCTTTACCCAGAACTTGGGCTTTTATTTACCCAGGCTTTAGAGTGGCAGTTTATCCAGTCTCTAGGAATTGGGACAGTGTTGAAAAGAACATGTGTCTCATGGCCAAAAGTATGGTTTTTGGAGCTGGAAAGACCTACTTTCAAATCAAGACCCCTCCTTCTTATTAATGCGTGACATCAGGCAAGATATTTGACTTCTCCGAAAGTCAGTTTTCTCATATTTAAAAGGGAGCTGAGTAATATTCCATGGTGTATATGTACCACATCTTCTTGATCCAGTCATCTATTTTGGGGCATTTGGGTTGTTTCCAAAGCTTAGCTATTGTAAACAGTGCTGCTATAAACATAGGGGTGCAGGTGCTCTTTGGAATTGATGTTTCTGTGTCCTTTGGGTAAATACCTAGGAGTGGTACATATACACCATGGAATATTACTCAGCATTCAAAAAAGATAAACACATGCAATTTGCAGCAACGTGGATGGCGCTGGAAGGGATCATGCTCAGCGAAATAAGCCAGAAAGAAAAAGAAAAATACCGGATGGTCTCACTCATAGCAGGAATCTAGAAAACTTAAATAAAGGACCAGGAAAATGAATAACTATAAGAAAGTGAAAATCAAAATCAACAAAAAACTATGAACCAGAGACATTCTATTGGGGGTGGGGGGCGGGGAGGGGAGGGATTGGGGTCAAAATAAGGGGATTGCAATAGTATGGGGAATATAAAAATAAAATTTATTAAAAAAAATAAAAGGGAGCTGATAATCACCACACTGCACAAAAGTTCACATGGACTTTCTTGCCACAATGGCAAGTGGTAATGCCCTGGTCCTCACCCTGATTTTTTGAAAATCATTAAGGCTTATTTGGCATTTCTGTTTTCAAGGATTCTGTAGGGTAAGGTAAAAAGTATCAGGCTTTTCTGCCCTCCCGCCATTAGGATAGATGAGGGAACCCTGTGGTCCTGAATGCATGCCTGATGGCGGGCACCTGAAGTGGGTACACCTGGGCTGAGAGACTGAGTTTATAAGGGCAGTGTCATGGGGATGCCAGCAGAAGCCAAGAATGAATGGAAGCCTAGAGAAGAGACCCCAGAGAATGCCAGAGAGCCCAGATAGAGTGAGGATTTGCTGGGGGCTGGGAGGACTGCCACACTCCAGGCCCCCCAGCATCTCTGCCTGCCATATGCCTGGAAAATCTAAATAAAAAACCTGCAAAAGCCACTGAGGGTTCCAGGACTCCTCCTTTACCTGGTCTGCTGGATCAGAAAACCTGCTCAGTGTCATTCCTGACCCTTACAGATTCTTATGATGGTCTCTAGACAAACAGCCCTTGGAGGGCAGGCTGAGTTGTCTAGAGCAGTGGTTCTCAAAGTGTGACCCTTGGACCAGAAGTATCAGCATTGGGAGAACTTGGTAGAGATTCAGGTTCTTCGGCCAATTTGGAACTATTGGATGGACATTCTGGGCCTGGAGCCAGATCTATGTTTTAGTAAGCTCTCAAAGTAATTTTAATGCACATCAGAGAATCCTTGGGGTAGTAGATGCAGTCAGCAGTCAGAAAACATATCAGGGATTGAAGAGAGAAAATAGAATGGAAAAAATGGTTAGCTAGGTATCAAGTTCCAAGTACGTAATCAAAATAGCAAAAAGGGGATGCCCCCCAAACTGGAGGACTTCCTCCTCACCCCCGACTCAAGGCTATGTCATGTGGCCCTAGAGCACTCCTTGCGGGCAATGCAAGCAGCAGCCAGTGTTGAGCATTTTACTGTCTCCCACCAGTGGCCCAGCTAGGCCTGGGCTGCAGGCAGAGGCCAGCAGTGATGGTAGTCAGCTGTAGTACCCCTAGCCCCCAGGTCATGCAGCCCCAGGAGCCCTGCGGGGCCAATTGGCTCCAACACTGTGGCTCTCTCTCCAGCAGCAGGCAGAGGAGAAGCCCATGGATTTGGTGTTTGTAGTGTAGAAATGGCTTACCAGGTGCACGCTATGAGCTGATTAGTAAATGGTCCAATGGGTCATGGGATTGAAACTATCCAATCAGAGTGGTAGGTGGGGGCACTAAAAGCGGAGAGAAGGGAGGGCAGAAGCCAGCTTGGGATGTGCTCAGAGGGCCGCACTGCTGGACTTCTGCACTCACTTGGACTTGCTTGGACACTTGTGCTCAGACTCATGTGCTCAGGCTGGACACTTGCTTGCTCAGACTGGACTTCTAAAGGAAGAAGAGAAGCTGAAAATCATTGTAGGGAAGCTGAAGAGCTTTGCAGAGGCCAAGAGACGCTGCCTGCCTCTTGTCTGCTTCTGACATTGCCAGGAAGGCAACACCTCCCAGTGCTGCTGCCTCCATTGCTCTCTGATCCAGCGTCCAGTGCTTTCCATCCCAACCTTCAGACTGTGGCGTCATCTCAGCGGCCCCACCTGTGAGCACTTCTGGCCACAGTGAGTTGGATCCTGGCCTGCTACTTGCCAAATGCCGCAGCACCATGCCCTCACTGATGGAAGAACGTCCTCTTGGATGACTGGCCTTTGTTTTGGGCTTTTGGACACTGGACACTAACTGGGGTGAGATGACCAGCCACTTGTGGCCTTGGGAAGTCTTTGTTTCCCCTGTTTGTTAAATAAACCCCATTCTTATTGCTCCCTGAGCCTGAGTGGTCTTGCAGTTGTGGCTGTCTTGTGGTTTGTGGGCGAAGAGCCCACAGTGATCTATCCTCCACCAGCACTATCCTTTGGAGGCTACAGAGCCCCCCTATAGCCCTGTTTCAGATGTGCTTTAATATGCAGACAGCCGAAAAGGAATTGGTAAAATACATTTGGAGAATCCTTTAGACTCTGTTCCTTTACCTTAGATTCGATAATGCATATTTTCAGATTAAAGTCCCTGAGATGTGTGAAGGAAAAAACCTGTTTAACTTTATTTAATCCAAAATGTCAAAATATACTTGAGTTCATGAACTCTTTTTTTCTCTGCAGAAACTGGGAGCAGCATATCATGAAATACAAATGACTTCACAAGATGTTATAAAAGTCAAGTAAGAATTTAAGATAAATTCTTCCTACAGTGGCTGGCCCAGAGTAAGTATTCAATAGTAGTGAATATTATTGTGTGATTGTTATGAGAGTTGGTCTTATATTTTGGTATACCTGGGTTCTGATCATAGGTATGCTTGATCAGTGTTGGCCAGTTGAAGGTTGACAGGTTTCATCTGCCAGTTGATAGCTAATGGTTGTGACTGACTGAGAGCCTACCTACTATGTGTCAGGGTATGCAAATACTTTAACCAAGCCATCGCCACATTCAATGGTAACAAGAAAATATGTGCAATTCTTTCGTTTGTAGATGTAGAAATTGAGATTGAAAGATAACATGTGACCTACCCAAGGCTGTGTATGCACTTAACTGTGAAGTTGAGGATTTGGCTTGGCATGGTTCGAGGCAATCCCTTCTGTTATTCTCATTTGGGATTCTGCAAAACCTTAGCTGGGGTGGGGGTGGGGTTCTGTAAAAGCCACAGTGAGGGGGGCACTTGCGATAAGTTAAACTGAAATGAAATTCTTGACCAACATGAGCACTGCAGAACAAAATGTATCAGGACAGTATGCTCTGGTGATACCAAAGATCTTTATGGAATTCACATTGGTCTTTTAACCTTGGAGGCTGCTTGTTTCCTTTCCCAAAGCATTGTTCCTGGTGTGAGACATCGATGAGTAAGTTCTCACTGGAGATTAATCATAGTAGTAGGAGGGTATATAGTGAACTTAAAAATAAAAATCAAGATAAATGTTGCTTTAAAGCTTTGTATACTCTGCCTATTCAGTTACCTGCATCATCTTCTTGATGTCAGGAAGATCTTGATGGTGATAACAAGGAACAGTTCCTAAGGCCAGAACACATGGTTCCTTGGTTAATTCTGAATCCACGTTTAGCCTTTGAAATAAAATTCTCTTTAGGTTCCATTTATGCCATAATTTGAAAGTACCTGGTGTTAGATTTGTTCTAATTTCATATTAGTAATGGTCTTTTATGCAGGCAATCACCCCAGTTTTTAGAGCTTGACTGGTTATCTAAAGGTTGATGGATTATTCCCAACAAAGCTTTCCATAAATGTATTCTCTGATGCATTTTATTTTTGATCTTACCTGTTTCATGGCATATATGGAAGGCAAAGAGGAGATGGAAAATTGATTCCTTTGAGCATATCTATCCTCAATGAATGACGTATTTGCAATCATATGTTAATATAATGATTGAGATGGTTGCTTTGGTGGAACTGAAAGATGTTGGGGAAGTGTAGTGCCAGCAAGGCACAAGGCAGATACTCAATTGATTCCAGCAAACAGGTAAAGGGGAGTCTGGGAGCCCTCAGTGGCTTTTCAGGTTTTAATGATCTTTCTATACCAGTTGTTGTGGGGCTGGCAACTCGCAGGCTGGCAAGGCAGGGAGGCTGGGGTACCAGGAAGCTGGCAAGCCCCCTAACTCCTGGCAAATCTTTTGTACAGTTTTCTTTTTGGGCTCTCTCTGGTGTTGTCCCATGGTCCTGACTCTCTGTAGTTACGAGGACTCTCATAGCCATTCTCCGCTGCAGCTCTTCTGTGTGACGCCACCCTTACAGCCTCAGTTTCCAGGCTCAGCTGTGCACACTCATGCATGTCCGCACCATACTCCAGGTGTCCTCCATCAGGCATGCATGCTTCGAGCCCATGCTCCCAAGCGCCTCCTGCATTAGCACAATCAAGGCTGCAGGTGATAACCACAGAGGCCAGTGGTACAAAAGCCTGAACATTTCACTTACCCTGTAGGAAGTAACACCAAAGCAAGGGGCAGATATGTTCAAGGGATGGTTGAAATATTGAGGACCAAATGATGGAAAACTAGAAAAGACGGCCAATGTGCCTACCCTTGGCTGGCAAGTGCCAGAGGCCTCTTTCATACTTATACCCCTCATGTTTGAACTTGGCAGTTGCATCCAGCTGATTGTGACTATTAGAGGAATTAATGGATATCAAGTACCCAGCACAGGACAGGACACACAACGTGACATCAGTGAAAGGTGATATTCTTTCCATTTCAATTCTACAACATGATCTATTCTCATTTGGATTTTATAGTTTAAAGGTAATTGGAGACTTGGGTTTCCAATTGATTAACAACACAAGGGCCAGTTCCTGAGAGAATGGACCTTTACAGACCTCTTTTATATTTAAATGAAAGGACTCATCCTTCTATCATGGTTTCACAAAAGTGTGGTATGAGGACCTGTACCCGAGATGCACGAAGGATACCATCCCACCTGATGCCTAAAACACCTGTATCTCAGAGGATGCTATGTATTGTCTACAATCTCAATGAGCTCCGTAGATGGTTCTTAGAAACTTCTTAGCTTAAGCCCGTTAGCTTAAAACTAAAATGGCCATCCTCAAGATGCCAGCATTTAGAGGTGGAAGGATCTGGGAGAGGCCTGAGAGATTAGAGAGTTATTAATTCCCATCATTTGACAGAAAAGGAAACTGAGGCACAGAGAAACAACAAAGTTGTTGACAGAGCTCTGGCAAGTTCTGGACATAGTTTTTTCCAAACCCCTGTTCTGGAACAAAAAGGCATCTTTTTGCACTACAGTTGATGTTTTTTTTTTTTTTTTTTTTGGCCAGGAAATGGTTTTGCTTTATGAGGCTACATTTTATAAAGAAGGGATGGCAATTTAAGTGTTCTGGGCAGTGTCACTCTTTTAGAATCTACTTAGAATCCCAAATATTAACAATTCAATTATTATGTTTAAAATGTTTGTGATTCCCCCTTGAGAGCAGGGTTCTAATGGCTTAGAGATTCGAGCCACTCATCTCTCCATCTCATCCTTCCTGCCTTCTCTACCTTCTGTAACTCTACTCTCCTGATATTCTCGACTATTTTCAGTTCACAAAATGAGTCACCTTCCTTACTTTTGAGCGTTAGCTCACACTATTCTATCTATACTGTTTTTCCTAGCAAAGCTCTCTCTAGCTTTCAGGTGTTAGCTGTCAGGTTCTACTCCTCCCGCCTTCCTCTGCCCTGTCAAGTGTGGGCAAGAGTGCCTTTCCAGGTGCCTTCCTGGAATCCCATACGACCATTTACAAATCTATTGATGTTATATTGGAATTGTCTCAGTGATCTCCCTAACCATATTTTAAGCTCCAAAAGTCAGGAGCCGTGTTTAGTGTTTCAGTGCTCATTGCAACGTGTGCCTGGTAGTAAGAAGATAACCAGGAAATAAACTGTATGCTCAATAAATGGCTGGATGATTTTCAAGTTCACATTTTACATTCTGTGTTCAAGTAGGGAATGGTCTGGTTGGAATAGACAATGACATTATTAAGTGGTTGTAGATGAGGCTGATTAGGGCCAGCTGGGATTGTCATGAGATGATGGACTTTGGTTGTGAGTGGCTAATATCAGCCTAGACCTGGTCAATGATAATGGTTTGTTGATGGGGCAGGTGAGGAGGCAGCAGTAAGAGCATGAGTGTGAGAAAGAAGCAGCTAAAAATCACATGTAAGTTAAAATGTGACTGGTAGTTCAGATTCAGTGAGGACTAACAGCAGGCTAGTGGCTGTAGGAATAGTGAGAAATGAATGAATCTTACAAATGTTGCCATATAAAAATCAGGAGTGCAAAATGCCCCAAAACAGAGGAATGGATCAAGAAGATGGGGTATATATACACTATGGAATGTTATTCAGCAATCAAAAAATATAAACATACAACAACATGGATGGAGCTAGAAGGGATTATACTGAGTGAACTAAGTCAGAAAGACAAAGAAAAATATTGGATGGTTTTACTTATAGGAGGAATATAGGAAACTGAACAAAGATCCAAAAAAAAAAGACAAAACCTGTGGGCAAATTATAGATCTGAGACACACAGTAGGGGAGAGGGTCAAAATAGGGGAGGGAAGAGCAAAAGGGACTATGGTGATGGTTCATGGGCGATGTCGTGGTGGGAGATTTATGGGGACTACACCTAAGTGGAGAAATCAAATACTGTACAAAAATGAACAACAATGTAAGAAAATAAAGTTTAGTTAAAAAAAAAGACTACTTGGGGAAAAAAAATCAGTCAGGATTGCTTGATAGAAGAGCATCCAGTGTTTCTAAGGGACCTTTCTTGTTCTACTGATTCATTGATTTACTAAATCAGCAGACATTGAGATACGAGGTACAGTGAATAGACACACTCCTTACTCTGCTGTAAGCAAAGGAGACAGATAATGGAGAAATACTGTAGGGTAAGGTAAAAAATGTCAGGCTTTTTTGCCCTCCCACCATCAGGATAGATGATGGATCCTTGAGGTCCTGAATGCATGCCTGATGGCGGGCACCTGGAGGAGGGTGTGGGCATAGGTAGATAGGATCCACGTGGGCTAAGACTGGGTTTTTAAGGGCAGCGTCACGGGGACGCCAGCGGCAGCAGTAGAAAGCTGAAAGAGAAGCCTAGAGGCAGCAGAATGAACGCCGGAGAGCCCAGATAGAGTGAAGACTTGTTGGGGGCTGGGAAGCCTGCCAGCCTCCCAGCCCCCCAGCCAGCACCCCTGCCTGCCATATGCCTGGTGAACCCCAATAAAAGGCCTGCAAAAAACCACTGAGGACTCTGACTGCTCCTTTACCCAGTCTGCATGGGATCAGAAAACCTGCACTGTGGTCCTGTCCTGCCCCTACAAGTACATAATAAAGAAGTGCCTTCCATAACCAATAGGCAGTGAATGTCATATAGGAAATTGAGTAATTCATGTAAAACACTTGATCTGGTGCTTGGCATATAGTAGAAGCTCAATATTATCAAGTCCCCCTCCCCACACACTCCTTAATGAAAATTAGAAAATGCCTTTGTATGTCTCATAGCCGTTAAATCAAGCCCAATTGTGACTGCCATATATTGAGTACTTATTATATACCAAGTTCTATGTCCTGGGCTTTGCATCTATCAATAGTCGTCTTTCTACCACCCTGCAAGATATGATGGTCCTTCTTTTTCAGATGAAGAGTAAGAAGTTAAATGAAGTTAGTCATTTCCCCAAAATTGTGGGCCTCCCTCCAGAAGGGACAACTTGGACTTTATTTCCGTATTTTTAGAAATCTTACACCACAGAAAGGACAGCTAGTTTTGTTCAACTCAAATTCTGGATGTTCAGTATTAAGATAATGTAGTGCCAGCAAGGCACCGGGCAGCTTCTCTATTGAATCAGGTAAAGGAGGAGTCCTGGAGCCCTCAGTGGGTTTTTCAGGCTTTTAATGATCTTCCTACACCATTTGTAGTGCGGCAACAGGCGCAGGGCAGGCAAGAGGCCTGGGGGGCCAGGGGGCTGGCAGGCCTCCTAGTCCCTGGCGAATTTTTACTCTTTGGGCTCTCCACCACACCTCCCTCTGCCACACAGTATCCTCTGTGACGCCACCCTTACAGGCTCTGCCTCCAGGCTCAGGTGTGCCCATTTAGGCATGCCCATACCATACTCCAGGCATCCATCATCAGGCATGTGTACCCTGAGCCATCAGGGTACACCATCAGGCACATTCCCAAGTGCCTCCTGCGTGGAAAGTGGCAGGGGATAGCCACAGAGGCCAATGGCGCAAAAGCCTCCGCAATCTTCATTTACCCTACAGATAGGAGTATAAACTATGTATCTGGCTGAAGATTTTTCTTTGCCAGTTATTAAACTATGAAATGCACTTGATGCAGTCTAAGCTACATTCTCATTGTTTATAAAAGAGGAAGAAACAGTATAATAACAATAACTACCTTATAGGCTGCATTTGGAATTGAATGAGCATAAGCAAGTAAATTACGTTTTTAAATGATGGCAAGTTTTCTCTCCTAGAGTACATCAAACTGTAGAGAGGCAGTTTTGGTTCTTATAATGGGGAGAGGGCTCTGGCATCTAGTGTGCAGTGATTTGAGGATGCTCTGAAACCTCTGTGATGAACAGGACAGGGCCTACAGCAGAAAATCATCCAGCCCAAACTATTAATAACTCTGAGATGAAATAATTTTGGTGTATATCCTGGTGTCTGCTGTGTAGCAAAAATAAACAATTCTAAGATCACCAGGAGTGTAGAATACATGGAAAATCGTTTTGGAAGCAATACTATTGTATGACCATTAGATGAAGATACATCTGCGGTATTGACTAAATTTTTCACCTTTTATCTAAATATTTTGAAGTCATGAAATAGACATTTGTATTCATCTATTTGGGTTGTGGGGTCCTGAGGTTCTTTGTCACTTGTCAAGGAGTTTCACAAGCTGAATTTGCATTTGATTGCAAGCTCTGTTATTTCACTTCAGGAGTAGATTGCCTTACAACATTACTTTTGGAAAAGGAGGTTTATTTGTTTTTATGTATTTTTTGGTAACTTAAAAGCATCTTGAGTTATTAAACCAGTTATTTTCCAGGCCTGCAAATGTTTTCAGCATGTTGCCCCATTTTCCTGAGTCAGCACATAGTATTAGATGTTGGAGGACCTCAGTCAGAACCATTCCCTTAAGATGTTGGCATTTTTCTTTGGGGGTGTGCTATTTGGGGCACTCCCACGGACAAAGGAAATCATGTGCTTCTCTCAGACCCCCAAATTCATGCTATGGGGGAAATTTTACTCGGGGCAAAAGGGTATAAGCACTACAGTTTCAGACTAAGAATAAAGAAGAGAAACACAAGTGGTCATTTAATATTTTTCCCTGCTGTTCGACTCTTGCTTACTTTTAACCGGGAGCCAAACCATAAGGTAACTCCTCCAGCCCACATTTTATGTGAGACAATAAGAGAGGACTTTTGAGTTACAACGAAAGAATTCTTTTTCTGCTTCGAAGCCAAATACTTTTACGAGAGGCAGAAAAAGAAAGGGAGTAAAAAACCCACTCAAGTCAAATTGATGAAAACCAGTCAAAATATGGCCTTGTTGTGGCTGATGCAGCTCTCCTGGCTGGTCCCCAAACACAGGCAGTGTCTTCAGGCATGGCTCTCGACACTGATTGAACTAGATTTCTGTGTCAACTGCTTGAAAGCTGCAGTCCTGCACCACACGTTTCCTGAGTATATTATTGAAAATTATCAGACCTGTTTTGTTCATTACCAGTAAGCTGAAAAATGACCTGCAAAGAAAAAAAAAAAAAGGCTGAAAGTCTTTCTCCAGCCAGTACAGGCTGCCTTTTAAATAAATGTCCCCAAAGCTCATGAATACATCATGGAGGGGCTCAGGCTTTGGGGGAGGTATCTTTCATAATAACTCCATGGAAATCTCTATTGAAATCTACCAGGCCCTACACCATGGATAGTCTCCCACCTAAGTAGGCAAACTTAGTAAGTACTTAGAGCACATGGTTTGTTCTGAACGAGCAAACATTCATACTTGCTTCTTATTTTAAACAATATTTACTGATACCAAAACCAGAGAGAAAATTTTTTCTCTCATTATGTCAAGACATTTTAATTCTGCATAACGAAATTATACTCTTGATGACTAAAAAGCACATAGCTTTTCTGCTGGCTTCCTTTTAGAGAAGCTAAGATAGTCAAACTAATTTTGCCAGGATGGGGACTAACAGACCCCCAGTCAGAGGTCTCGGTGCTATAATCCATGTCGCGGTGAGGTTGATGTCAACTCTTTGTTGTTTTCATCTGAGACTAGACTGCCTACTTCTTAGTTCCCAATATTACTAACAGTTCATTTATAACCCCAACTCCCCGCCTTCCTCCACATCTGACTTTGAAGACCTGAATTAATTTAGGACTTGATTAGTGGTAATTATTTACCTGTCAGTCCCCAGCTGGACTGCATCACCAAAGCTGAGTCACAAAGTTTTGCTCCCAATGGCTGCTTCTAAACAAGTAAATCAGGGAAGCACCTGTGTAAATATATAATATTTGGTGATAAGAAAATGATTAGGCAATAGAAACTGAGCTGAACTAGTAAAAAAAAAAAAAAAGAGTATTTCCCCCTGGGTGCTTTACACACATGTCTTTAAGCATCTCCCATCTCAAGATGTAAGGTTGGGTTATTTTCCAACCCCCACCTACACCTTGTTTATTTAGAAAATAGTTAATCTGCTATCACTCGATTGCAATTATTTGCAAACATTAAAATTTTCACTCATCTGTAAGCTTGAAAGAGAAGTTGAAATAGGGTGAAGTAGTCACCAGTAATTTTCTCAAGTCATAATGTCTATCAATATAAATGAAATTGAACTCATCCTGGACAATAACTATTCTTATTTGAACTGAGGGCTTCTGTGATGGGATTCAAAGCATAGGTTTAAAGAGTAGACAGACCAAAGCATGAATCCTGACATTACAGCCTTGTAGGTATGTGACCTTTAAAACATTTCGAGCTTCAGTTCCAAATGTGTAAAAAGGACGCGCTTTCTAACCTTACATACCATGCACATGCGCAGTGCCGAGCTCAGTGTCTGCTGAGCAAACATTCTCCAAAAAGACAGACTGATGGTCCTTAAACAGCTCACCATTTAGTGAGCCACGATTAAGCTATCTGTGATTTTCTTTTTTTTTTTTTTTTTTTAATAGAGGCATGTTTTATTTTATTTATTTGTTTGTTTGTTTTGTTTATACATGCACTGGGTACAGTCAGAAGAGCGGGAGGGTGAGAGAATTCACCAGAGCCAGAGTGGGGAGCGGAGCAGGCAGAAGGACCGAAGTACACTGCTGAGGGGAGCCGCGGGCGGCAGGAGAGGTCTGCGCGCCATGCGGGACCCTCCTTCAGTGGCCGGGGAGCAGCCGGGGATCGAACCCGGCGCCGCAGAGGCCGCGGGCAGCTTCGCAACCCAGTGCTCAACCGCTGCGCCACCGGGGAGGCCCGCTATCTGTGATTTTCTTAAAGTTGCTTTTTGATGGAGTATACTTTTCAGCAATTAAGAGATACTACTAGAAAGTTATTTTGAAAATTTACATTTTTATTTCAAAAGATACTCTGCCCAGCTTTTGAAATTTGTTCCTTCCTTAACATAAATTCATGCAGACGAACTGTAAGAGAGTTGTCTTCAGTTCTACCATTAGAAATAAAAAAGTTGATCCTACCTGACCATCATTTAATTAGGTTTCTGTAGTTTGAATCTGGCTGCTATGATTGGTGCAGGGAAAGCATGGTGGTGCTTGGTGAATCTCCTCCTGTGGTCTTTAGCATTTAAGGATGTTGTTTTGTGCAAAGCTCAAACCCTTATTTCACCTCTCCCTATGCTCTGTGATCATGGTTAGGTTAATTATTCATTGTGCTTCAGTTTTTTTCAATAGCAAAAATGAATGCACGCTATTATTTAGTGAATTCAGTGAGTTACATGTAATGAACTTAAAACAGTGACATGAGCAGAGAAAAAACCTATACTTGTGGTTGCTATTACTACTGGGACAAATGTCAGGAGGTAATAAGAGTTGGTCATAGAAAGAGTTAGTGTGTGTGACAGAGTATGCAAAGGCTCAGTCAAATCTTCCCAACTCAGAAAGGTCATTTATAAAAATAATTTTTAATTTCATTTTGTTTAAATGCAGGGTTTTATTTGTGGTTTCTGAATAAGATAATGAGAAGCGAGAAAGCTTTCTAGGGTGGTCATTCAGTTATTCTTAGAGGCAGGTCCCATAGTCTTTGCACCTTGAGTCGAAAATAAAATGGTCACTAGTTTTTAAAATCCACAGGATCCTATTTACACTCTGACTTTAGGTTGATATCATTGTAAGGGTAGGTTAGGGAACAAAGAGCAAAAAGTTGTAAAAATCCAAGGTTTACTTACTATCAGTTTTTAATTAAACATTTTAAAATAGGAATAAGAATTGTTTGAGGATGTAAATGTATCTCATTCTCTTCCCCTAAGCATTGAAACTATCCCAAATTACCTGATCATTTCTGAGTTTGATGGTGTCTTCTATTTTTGGTGAGCCTTCTGCTTATTTGTGGAAATGGTTTACTACTGTTAAAAGCGAACATCCTAAATGCACCAAAATTTCCTGCAGTTAAAAGACACACTTAAATTGTGACAGCAGAGATATTGTAGATTTGTAGGAGGCTGTGAAAGGAGTTTTAATAGCAAAATTTAAAGATAAGAAGCATCCTCAGCCTGGGATACATCCTTTCCCTTACTAATCTATTAAGCAAACTGATCAGTATTAAATGAAAAGTTGTGATGAGATGATGTGCTTTGGAGTAGGAAAAGTACTCTCAATTATTAGTCCAATGCGTCTTGAGAATACACTTCCTCTGAATTTCCCATTAGATCCCATTGAATTCACTGAGCAGTGTGACCTCCTTGCTTTGTTTAACAGCTATAAGTTCCCAAGGGTGTTAACAACCCAATTGTGCTGAAGTTGAGCTCTAATATGCTTCTTCCCTGAGGCCTTATCACTTACCTAGTTTGTTGATTAACTCTGTACATCGATATGCCATGGTCCAATTGAGTAGGCTTTATGATAAGCAGCTCAACAACAACACAATAAAATCTAAACCGAGAAATAGATGGTGCATTGATAAATAGAAGTCCATGTGTTGAATTTTAAGAACCTATCTTCTGTACTCTCAGGACCACCATTAAAATAGCAAATGTCTTTTTTCATGAATCCATCAATACATAATGGTCTATGTCTGCAATATATTTAGCAAATATTGTTCCATACGTTTTAGGAAATTTAAGAAACCATTATTCTAATGCTTCACTTTGGTCACTTATTTATAATTAACATATTTTTTTTTCATTTGGTCTAAATATTCTGCAAGGACCCCTTACACCTGCAGCTGCAAACTCTTAGGTAGCTAATGATTCCATGTCTTTTTACAAAAGGTTACTAACTTCGTAAACAGTAATGCTATAAATTACATAGGTTAAGATTCTCGTATTGCTGCTGATGAAGTACTTTTATTTTCTGACTACTTAACATTGTTGACATTTATCACTCTACAAAGGCTGTTATACTGAATTTTTCCTGTGTACTATTACTCATTAGATACACTTTCAGTTCCTGCATCATGAGCTGACATCAAAAATCTGATGCTTTTAACAACAAAATCCACAGTCTGTATTATCATTAGTTCAAAGAGATTTTCAGATCATGAAAAACAAGTCTAGAGTTGAATTCAACTCCAAACTTCAGAGCATAGACTTGGGATAACATCAAACAGAGCTGTTGAAAAGATTCATAAGGAATAACCAGCTTAAGCATTATGGCATTAATATGAGAAGATTGTAGACCTGTGGATTTCATTGAGTATACCGCAAAACTGTCATGAGTATACCACCTATTTGGGAACAATATGTGAAGTTTTCTTTAACAGATTTTGTAAAACTGAAGGTATTTGTAGACATGACAATAGCTACCTTACTATGTTGGTCAGTGTTGGTAGTACAATATGGTGGGGACAAGGCCTTATGACAAGTAGGAGAGACTGAATAACATGAAATGAATGTAACATGAAAAAGGCATATAACAAAAGTGTATACATGGAAACCTAAAATAACTTCACCCTGTGAGTATGGAAATATACACATAAATTATCCACTTTTATTGAAGTGTAATTTATATAAAACGAATGTATTCACTTAAAATGTAAATGATACATGCATGTAATCATCACCCAAATCAAGATACAGAAAATTTCCAGTACACTAAAAATGCTCTTTCCTGTCCCTACCCAGGTAATCTTGCAACCCAAACCCAGTTGACATTATATTTCTATCAATATATCAACATAAAGACCAAATTTGTTTTAGATTTTATTACAAATGGAATCATGAGGTATGTACTCTTTTGTATTTGACTGCTTTTGTTCAGCAGGATGTTTTTGAGATTCATTCATATTGTGTGTATCAACAAACATTCACATGCAAATACATAAGCCATCTGTGTAGACATATTTTTTTTTTGGATTAATACCTAAGAGATGAATTGAGGGATTATAAGGTAAGTATATACTTAACATTATAAGAAACTACCAAAAAATGTTTTAAGATGTTTATACTATTTTATACGCCCATCACTGATTGTGTGGCACTTCCAGATTTACATTCCAGATTTACATTCATGGAAGTGATGTTAGTCTATTTTTCAATTTAGTTGTTTTAGTGTGTATTTAGTGGTATATTATGATTTAAAAATGCATTTATCTGGTGACTTCTATGAGGTATATCTTTTTAGTGTTGACTGGTCACTGATATTTTTGTGGGGGCAAGCATATGTTCAAGTCTTTTCCTCGCTTAGAAATTTAGGTTATTTTCAAAGTAATAAGTTAAAAGAGTTCTTTTAATATCCTGGATGCAAATTTATGTTAAACATGCATAGTGAATGTTTCATTCTTTCACTTGACATATTTTAATGGTATACTTTTAATAGCAAAAGTTTTAAGTTTTGACGATGTCCAATTTATTAATCTGTTTTTTTTTAGTGGTTAGCATTTTGTGTCTTATGGTTTCTTTTTATTTTTAATTTATATATTCAGTTCTGTGATCTAATTTTACTTTATTTTTGATGTAGTAAGAAGTAGCATTCAAAGCTGATTTTTCAACATTATGATAGCACCAAATTTTGAAAAGATTCTCCTTTCTCTGTTCTGTCCATGCTTCTTCAGCAGCCTCAAACGGCCATAAGAACAGTTTTATACATTCTTTATGTATTTTATTTTTCTGTTAGAAGTTTCACTTTTTTTCTTTTACTATTTTCATTTCACTCATTGCATTAATTTTTGAAAAAGAACGCTAAAACTACTTGTGCTACTTTAAAAGTTTTTGCTTTCTAATTTCATCATCCACATCACCTTTAATTTCTCCTGGTTATGGATAAAAGATTTTTAAATTTTTTGGCATCTCTAATATTTCACTGGATGCTAGGAATTATCCACATTATATTGTTGATG